CCCCCACACACACAAACACACTCACACTAATACACCCACATTCACATGAACACAAGCACACACACACACACACACATAATTGCACACACTCTTTAATCAGTCACCCTAAAGCTAAAGTCTCAAATAGAGGAAAACAATCCCTAAGCATGTAGAAGACGCCAGGTAAGTATTCTCGTAGCCCCGGTTCTCTGTGCAAGAAACCTGTTTCCTGTAAACGCTGACATAAAGTTACATGCAACTAATCATATTACATGTATTATTTTCGCAGTCCTTAATTTTTATCTGGTCTGTGCTTTTCAGGAGTGGTCTCAGCTTCACATTAATGGCCTTTTTTTTTTGGGGGGGGGGGATATGTCTGTCTATTAATTATGACTAAAGTAGTATGCATGATACAGCTGTGTCTGGGTGGCTGACTCAAAGGAAGTAGACTGTCTAAGCACTTCAGTTTCTGGCTTCGTTGATATTCTCCAAAGGAAAGATATAGTCAATACGTTTGGAATCAAGGAATGTGTAAGTTATGCAACTTTGAAAAGAGTACCATCACCAAACTCAAGTTGTTAAGATAGCTTGAAAGAGTCACCTTACTATCAAGCCATGTCAACATACCACGTTTAACAAAATCATACCAAAGCAACCATAGGAGAACATCGGCAGCGGACAAATAGATTTTAAGAAAATTTCGCGCCAATAAGTGGCAAGCAATGTTGTTCCCGAATAGTAAAAGTGCAGTTCCCTTTTAGTCTCGAAGACTAAAAACAGAAAAAGATTCAAACCCACGCCATTCATGTACTTATGAAAGATTATCCATTTCTGCTCATATCATTGAAATGAAAAACATACCCCAAGCGTAGGAATCAGTCCCAATACCCAATTTAAAAAAAAAAAAAAAAAAAATTAAATGAGTGCGATTCGCACATTGTTAGGTGTTATGACATTCATTTTGTATTTTCCGACAGATTAATGTTCATTCTTTCAACAATCTCCTTTGTTTTTTCAGTACTGATGTTTAAATCAAATTTTAACATCTGATTGGATTCTAAATACCTCATTCAGCAGACACTGCAACTTGCAAGTTGTTGAGAAACCGCTTCAAAATGTGTGATAGCAATATTCGGAGGGCAGTTTCCTCCAGTTCTTTAATGAATCTGATCTAAAGGTGTAAAAAGTGTCCTTTGAATAACCTGGCAAAAAGAGGACACGAATTGGGCCAGCTGTAAGAAAGCAATAGTGTAATCGGCAACGTAATCATTAGTCAAACGTAGAATCTGCTTGAAAGTTAGATAAGTAATGAGTTGGGAAACAGTTCCTCTTCTTGTGGAGACCAACATCATACAGTGCAAACTGCGGATCACACGCCCTAAAACACGAACAAACTGACAAGATCTTTCGCTGTCTTCAGCCGGGTACCCATTGCCTCATGGATGAAGTGAGGAAAATTCGTGATAAGTGCCTTTCCCAATTTCACTGACGGGATTTGAAACCATGACCTACCGATTGAGAGTGCAAGAGCACAGTCTCTTGATCATCGAATCTATTCTGTATAGTAGCTTGTGAATGCTCCTTACTTTTAAACCTCGAAAGCTTTCCGAGAAGTCGATAAAGTTTCCAAGTCGTGTTCTAAGGTCTGCTAGGGTAATAATAGTTGTATAAAGTATACAACATGCTTATGCGCTATATAGGCCTAAGTGTGGTTGCTATAATTATAAAATTTGGACTTCAGAATAATATTATGCTAGTTTTCGTTTGGGGATGAGGGGGTAACCAGAACAGCCACAAATAAATGTTTGAAACTTAAACCTTAAGGCAACACGTTGCGGTTAGTATGGACAAATAGACATGGGCCATGTCATAAAAACCCAAGACTAACTTCAGATTCCATAAACGTATCGCGCAAATAGAAGGGGCTTATGGGAAGGCACCTTAATTTCAAGTTAGATTGCACAAAGATGCTTACTATTTTTAGTTGTCCGTTCCCTGGTCTACGAGGGCTGTTATTCACAGCATTACAAGCTGCAGACAGCAAATAGAACACCGCCCTTCTTGGTGCACAATTTCCTGACACAAATTCCTGAGAAGAAGTATTGCTCTGAATGCCAATGAGACATTGGCGCCTGTTAGTAACTAGGAAAAGGAAAGTACGCAGACTGGCTGGCACAGACAGGCTAATTTTATTGCTTTGTCCTCATAATTTTTTAATGATTTTTTTAAAATCTTTTTGTAAAATCTACCTCGTTCAGAGCCCCTTGCCCCCCCCCCCCCCCTTGTTTCCGCCCCGAGGCCAAACCCAATAGAACGGTAAAAAGCAACATCGCACTCACAAACTCTCTCAAATACACTCACACACACACACACACACACACACACACACACACACACACACACACACACACACATGTCTACGCCGGACCGCGTCACTCTGACAGACGCTCACACACACACAATATCAAAACACTACCTACTCTGGGACGGCAAATGTAAAATAATGCGAGCAGATTCGTTGCTGTGTAAGACGACACGCGTTACTAATACTGAGAAAAGAAGTGACAAAACGTGGTGGCGACCCGAAAATTTTATCCGCGGGCTGTTGTCTTTGCCAGAGTTGCCCTTTGTTCGACTCCAAGTGGCAAAGAAAGTAGACGAAGACTGTAGGAGAGAGAGAGAGAGAGAGAGAGAGAGAGAGAGAGAGAGAGAGAGAGAGAGAGAGAGAGAGAGAGAGAGAAAGAAAGAGAGAGAGAGAAAGAAAGAGAGAGAGAGACATAGACAGACAGACAGACAGACAGACAGACAGACAGACTCACACAAGTCACAAGAATCTTACTGGAGGCGGCAACTCTGAGTTGTGAATGAAAACAAAT